CCATTGATGAACATGTACATCTACAATTGTATCTTCGTCCACCTGTGAATCCCAAAGCAGGTCTATACACGAATATACTTTGTAATCTGAGATTCTGCTTATCTAATATCTGCGTTCACGCCACCGCTCCGACGAAATCTTGTGATTATCCGCGGGCAGAAACATTGCCAATGGACGCAGTCCTTAGAAAGTCACGGGTATGAACTAGCCTTAGAGCAAAGGGCCCAGGGAGAAAACCTCATAAGGGAACTGTCTCCAGAAAAGAAAAAGAAAGCCAGATCTCGACTTGGCAAGAGTGAGACATAGCGATAGAGAGAACCCAGGTAGAGAATCCGTGGCGGCAGATACCGCAACCCAATCGTTTAATGGACTGAGTGTCTATACTTGATTTCAGTATTGATTCGCTTTGCTCAACAGGTCCGTCGGTCAAAGTCCAAAGTACAGTATGCCACCAGCGACATTGCCCTGGACTGCAAAAAAAAAGAGCCACCAATTCGTGAAACATCAAATCCTACTCAGGGCAACATTGCTCTCAACCTAGGATCCCTTCAGTTGCCGTATCTCCAACCACCTTCTAATCTCATTCGCTCTCGCTGTTCTCGATCTGCTCTGACCTCTTCTAGTGTTAGACCATCGCCGCTCAGTGCCCAGTTGGCGCTGCTTGTCCGGTCTCTGAGTCGTTTCAATCTGTCCTTATTGCCCTTGGAGAATATCTCTTCTATTTTCAATGGTGCAATGGGCCCAAAAACTGCATCGCCATCCATACCCTCCTGCCGGATGAGCTGTTCGGTGAGATGGCCCGGTGTCGCCCAGTCAGGAATTGGGAATGCATTGCCGTCGTCGTCCGAGTCTTCATCCTCCGAGTCAGTTGGAATCTCGGGGAGGTGAATGGCCTCCCCATTGGGATACTGTGGTGATGACTTGACTGTTTGGATCGTCTTCTGTTGCATGATGGACACAGGAGTTTTTGTTTGCGCTGGTTGGTTAGGGGCATCTGCAAAGGGAATCTTTCCTCCCGTGGCATATTGTTGCATCTGGGGGGGCGCGGCTCGGCCGGGAGGCTGAGGGAATTGGCCTACGTACGTTGACGATTGGACTTGCGTATAGGTGCTATGATTGAAGATTGATGGCTTCTTCCCAAGTTGTGACTGCCGAATGGGTGCACCAGAAACAACAGGACGCGGAAGAGCTTCAACCACGGTTTCTTCTTCAGTCTTCCGCCTCTTTGTGTCGCCTTGAGATGTGAGACCGCCGTACTTTGAGTTTTGGGGACGTACTGTGCCCTGTTCTTCCTCCAATGGCCGCTTCGCAGGTTTCGCGGGATTGGTAGGCAGCGGATGGTTGAGCAATGAACGACCTGTAGTTTGACCGCCAAGACGTGAAGACGGCCTTATCTGAGAAGCTTCGTTCGCAGCACGCTCCAACCGTTGCTGTTCGGCCTTTCTTGCCGCATCTTGACGTTTGCGCTCGATGGCTTGCTGCTGAGCCTGTCGCTTCGCTTGTTCTGCTGCCACTCGTTCACGTTCACGCTTCTCTGCCTCTGCTCGTTGCCTCTGCTCTTGCCTTCGCGCCTCTTCCTGTTGAGCTGCTCGCTTACGCTCCAGTTCTCGCTTACGCTCCAGTTCTCGCTTCTGTTCAAGCTTTCTCTGTGCCTCTCGTTCGTCCTGCTCTTTTTTGCGTTCTGCTGCAAGCAATGCCCTGGGCTTCGGAGGCGCGTGGACCGATGATTTCATGTTCGTGATTGTTGATGACTGCAATGAAGCAGTGCTGGCCTTCTTATTCAACCCTGGGCGCTTAGGCTCTGCAGCCAGGGTTTCCTGAGCGTTCGGAGCTGCTTGAGACGTATTGGCCGGCATTCGTTGAGAGAGAGTTCCAACCCGGATGGATACTGGTGCAGGTTTAGCCTTGTTAATCGGATGGTCTTTTCCGAGTCTAATCGGCCTGGTTGGTCTTGCTGCCGATTCAATCGGTTCATGCTGCTCAACCGTGAGGTGTTTTGGGCTTGAAGGCTGGCGTTGGTCGGATTCCTTTTTCGCCATTTGTTCACGCGCGAGCGTTTGCTCTGCAATTTTCCTTCTCTCTTCTTCTCGGGCCCTCTCCAGTTGCTCATCCATTCGGTGCTTCAAGTGTGCTTCTTTTTCCTTTCGTCTCTCTTCTCTTTCTCTCTCGGTGGAACTGCGGGTCTTCCTCGCCTCTTTTGGAGGATTTGCAGGTAAAGGTTTATCTTCAATGAGCGCGTTCAAGTTAGGATACATTCCAGGCATTGCATTCGAAGCCACCTTGAGAGCATGTGGAGACAAAGTTTCCAACTTGGCTGCGGCTGAGACACTTGCGCTGCTGGTGAACAGACCTTTGGCGGTCTTCATTATGGATTGCAACTTCGACTTCGAAGCACTCAGATCGAGATATCGCCTCGGCGAACCCTGCGGAGTTGTTATTCCTTGAGTTGGATTCGACACTGATATGGATTTCGCGGGGCTTGGCGGAGGTGCCATGGATGCCTTTGCAGGAGAAGCCAGGGTAGCAGTTGACGCAGATTTCGTGTGCCCAAAGCCTGGCATTGTCTTACCAGGACCGGGTGACGTGCGTGCAGGAGACCTCATGCGTTCGTCGTGCGCGATCAATTCGGGAGCCCGAAGATCGAATTCCTCCTCAGAATCTGATTCCACAGCTGGGGCATTCCTCGAGGGAGATGACATAGCGCTTTCTGGACCAGTCAGGGGCTTGATCCAGTCGTCATCATCGTCATTAACGACCTGCATCGGTTTTTCATTCTGCAATTTCTGACGCTGTTCGTCCAGTTGCTTCACATCTGGCAGGACGACAGTAGAATGGATAGATTTGGACTGTCGTGGGGCAGCAACTCTTCCAAGCATGTCGATCTTTTCATGCAGTCTTTGCGTGGAGAATTTAGAGTGGTCTTTGGTGACTCGGTTTTCGCTCTCGGAGTCATCATGGCCCAAGATCTGCACATTCGAGTCAGTTTCGTCGTCTGTGTCGTCCATTTCAACGTCTTTGTCGTCATCACGTGATGGGTGTTGTGGGTTCTGACTCGAAGGAACAGCTGGTCGTATTCCATATGCACTTGATGGTGGTCGATGAGCCTGGTCGACATGACTTGTCCGGGAGATTCTTGTGCCAATACTTGATTTCAGTGGCTCTCGTGCCGGAAGTGAGGCAAATGTTAAACTGCTCTTCCTCACCAAAGGTCTTTCAGGAGTCGACTCATCGGAAGGGGAGCCAATGTCATCCAGGTCGGGATGTATTTCTGCTTGCGACTCATTTTTGCCAACGGTGCTTTCGACCGGATGAGCATCCAGAGACACACTCTCAGATGCAATTTCCTTCGTAGCACCCTCTAGTCCTGTCATCTTCATTGTCTGGTCTTCTTTTGCCGAATGAAACGATCCTTCCGTAGTACGATGCCCTTCATCCACGGCATCCTCGACGGTATGCTCTGAAGGCGGTACAGTGTTGTCAGAGATTTCTTCATGTGCAGCTCCTAGTACATTCCTCGAATAAGGATCTATACCAATGTCCACATCATCCTGGCTTGCGGTGTGGTACCCGGAGTCGGTCTGTGATTTGATGGGTCGTTGTTCCGTGTGGTCAGGATCGGTCGATATTTCAAAGCGTAGTCTGGGCTGATCAGGCCTTTTCTGAGGACTTTGCCTTGGTAAGGGCTTTGATGAGAAGACGTCGCTCAAAGGCTAGGGACAGGCATTAGTCTGTCGTCGCATGTGGTAGTGGGGGTTTAATTGCATCAGCTTACTATTCGAGCGTCTTGAGCGTTTCGTTTTCTTGCAGTACGAGGAGTTTTCCCTCGAAGCTTTCCAGGTGTCTTAAAGATGTTGGCAACATCACTATTTCTGGTCAGAAACCTCGCAGACATAGCAGTTCATGAGTTGGACATACAGATGGCTCTTGTTGAATATCTCCGCCATGTGCTCGTTGAGCCATTCGAGCTGGTGCTGTGCTGGAAATATAACTTCTTCCTTCTCATTTTGTAGGAGATTTAGAGCATTCTCTTTCTCTGCAGCGATCCAGGACACTGAACCCACTGCTGCACCTTTGTTGGCCATTGTGCTCGGGGATGTTGACGCGCAAATGAAAACGATAAATGGCTTGATGGGCTAGCTTTAAGGCTCTTGTAAAAGTATCTCCCTGGTTGTGAAGAAGTGCATTGTTGTTGTGGCAAGATAGTAGACTATCAGGAGCCAGTTATGAGGGTGAGAAGTCGAGTTCAATGAAGCTGCATGTGGGAATCATTCCGTATGTTTTGGTTAGAGCTGCATTGGTCTTAGCGCGGAGCACGTGGTCACGTGCGTTGTATGGCACTGTCGTGGCATAACCCTGGAACAAGCTTATTAGTGTGCTTCACTACAGCCCCGAAAGAACACTCCTCCTCCGCCCTGATCCTTGCGACTGTACCTAATCAGCTATACTCTCTAGGCTAAACTGTGTTTCGATTAATTACAATCGAGAACGCTAATAGTGGGACACGGCTATGCAGCGGTGTTTGCACATGATGATGCCGAGAGTACGGCGAAACCCCTGACAGCATGCCCCCGTTTCCGAGATACTCCGTCTTTACCGTCTCGAAAACTAAGATGGTATTTTCGAGACACTGGCGGGAGGCTAGCGATTGGCTCGATGCGTTACACTCGAAGCAAGGCGTTCCACACCCTCAGAGCTTAGTTGGAGACGGGCAGCGATCTCGGAGTTGTCTCCAACCGGGACCGTCTTCATATTAAAATACATCGCTCATTCCTCTCCAACTAGCGTTGATCGACTCTACAGATTCCACCTTCGTCCCCTGGAATTGAAGCTCCCTCCGCTTCTTGATCGCCACAATGCCTGCAGGGCAGTGTCTTAATCGGCTGTCGCGACAGCTTACATCGAAGTCACGGTCGGCTGTCTCCTCACAACCTCGGTTGTGGCAACAAGCACTTGCCCACCATGGAAGAAGGCTTTTCTCTGCAACTAGGAAAAGCAGTATCATGGAGACAAGCTGTTTCACCGAGGAACAATTGACCGTGCGTGAGGCTATTCAGAAGATCTGTGCTCGATTCCCGAACGACTACTGGCAACAACATGACCAAACTGAGACCGATCCTAAGGAATTGCATGCCGCACTGGCGGCTGATGGTTGGCTTGGTATTGCACTTCCGGAAGAATTTGGCGGCGCAGGACTGGGCATTTCCGAAGCGACCATGATGCTGCAGACAATATCTCAATCCGGTGCAGGCATGGCAGGTGCTCAATCCATTCATGCCAATGTCTATGCGGTTAGCTGGTTCTCCTGGTCCCTATAATTGTCGGAAATTGGTCACTGACTGGTCCAACAGACGCAACCACTGGCCAAGTTTGGAAATAAAGATCAACTACAATCTACAATCCCGAACATCATCAGCGGCAAATGGAGAGTGTGCTTCGGTGTGACTGAGCCAAACACTGGGCTGGACACGTTGAGGTTAAAGACAACCGCCACCCGGAAGGGGGACAAATACATCATCACTGGTAAGTAGTCACCAAGATCTTTCCATAGCGGAAGGGATGTTTATAGTTGCCACAGGACAAAAGATCTGGATCACGTGCGCGCAGGTCGCTTCTAAGATGATCCTCCTGGCCCGGACAACCCCCTTGGAAGAGGTGAAGAGGCCGAGCGAGGGGCTGTCCATGTTCTGTATTGATATTGATAGATCCAACCCTGCACTGGAACTCAAAAAAATAAAGAAGATGGGCGGACGAGCTGTTGACGCCAATGAGGTCTTTTTCGATCACTATGAGGTGCCAGAGAACACTCTCATTGGAGAAGAGGGTCAAGGATTCAAGATCATCCTGCATGGAATGAATGCAGAAAGGTGTCTCCTCGCGGGAGAAGCGCTTGGACTTGGTTATGCAGCGGTCGAGAAGGCTGCACAGTATGCCAGAGAGAGAGTTGTCTTTGGCAGACCCATTGGGAAGAACCAGGCTATTGCACATCCTCTGGCTGACGCCTACATGAACCTAGAAGCGGCCAAATTAGCAGCGTATCATGCTGCTCGGTTATATGATCGGAGCAGAACGGATGCCACCATCAGCCCCCATGCGGTGGGAGTCGCATGCAACAGCGCAAAATATTTGGCGGCCGAGGCAGCATTCAAGGCTTGTGAGAGAGCGGTCATGAGCCACGGTGGTATGGGCTATGCCATGGAATACGACGTGGAGAGATACATGAGGGAAATCTTTGTTCCTAGGATCGCTCCGATCAGTCGAGAGATGATTCTGAACTTTGTGAGTGAAAAGGTCCTGGAGCTACCTAGGAGTTATTGAAAAAACCTATATTCATATGTACAAAGTTGTGTCGGTTCAGGTCACTGATAGGTAATAAATGGACTTCCGGTGTGCGAGATTGGGAGAGGTGAATTTAATTCGAGATCAGGTTGTTGTTTTCCCCGCACCAATATTTTCTGTTCAGGCACCCAGGTCTCGCCTGTTAGATTCCTAAGTGATTGCGACCATTCATCCTATGCCCGAACATGTCGCGGATAGAAGAGCTTCCAGATGACTTTGATGAGCATGTCAGTCTCAATGATGCGCCCAAGAACCTGCCCTCAATCGAAGAGCTGTACGATCAGCACATCTCGGCGTCTGGTCCCTCACAAAACCAGATGTCTTCCAAGAGCTTCGAAGAAATCGTGCAGGACATGAGCAAAACCCCGCTCTTTATGAACAGTCTTGACGAAGCGACTAACGACGGTACGCTCAAACCTACGGCTGCTCAGGCATTTGGCTGAGCAATGGTGTGCAGATGGAGAGAATATAATGCTCGAGGCCATTAAAGCCCTGCAAAACGAGGGAACAAAAGCGGAAGTGGCACAAGGATTTAAAGAGCGTGGGAACGAAATGGTCGCGGAGAAGAAGTGGAAAGATGCCAGAGAGTTCTACACCAAAGGGCTTGCAGTCCTAACAACCAAGGACGAAGACAAGTGGGACAAGCCTGAAGACGAGACCGCAGAAGAGAAGCTTCGAGTCCTGCTTCACGAACAACTACTCGTCAATCGAGCCCGGTGTAATCTGGAATTGAGTAGGGATGCTCTAACATTTACAGTTGAAGGTATGCTAACTGATCAGGAAACTACCGTTCAACCATCCAAGACAGTGCTGCTGCACTACGTATTAACCCTGCAAACATCAAAGCGCATTATAGGTCGGCCTCCGCCCTGCTCGCCCTGGACAAAGTTCTCGAAGCACTGGATGTGGCATCTCGTGGATTCAAACTCGATCCAACCAATACAGCTTTGAAGAAACTGTTGGACCAGATCAGAAGCCGGATGGCAGTCAAAGAGGCAGAAGACCGCCGGCGCTTAGCAGAGCTGAGAAGGAAACAACAGGAGAAGGCAGCGTTAGATGCGGCGTTGAAGGCGCGAAAGATCGTTGTCCGTGGATCTAAACACCCTCCGAACTTGGAAGACGCGACCATTCGGTTGTCGCCAGATCCGCTATCGCCCAAAAGTCTGCTAGAATTCCCAGTGATGTTGCTCTATCCGATGCATAACCAGACCGATCTAATCAAGGCCTGGGCCGAGAAAGATGCCATAACACATCACCTGAGCTACATACTACCCTTGCCGTGGGATAGCAAGAACGAATACAAACTGTCGACAGTAGACTGCTACATGGATACCATCAGCGGTGGGCTCATGAAGGTCGGTAAGAAGCTGAATTTGCTGGAGGCACTCTCCAATGGGAAGACTGAGGTGGTGGACGGGCTGGTTAGGATTTATGTGGTGCCAGTGTCACTTGCACCTCAATGGATAGAAGAGATGAAGAAGAAAAGGGGCAAATAGAGACAAGTACAACATGGACCTGGCTGTAGGATCTGTTCACCTGTGCTGCTCTCAGCACTTTAACACGTAGCCGTACCCTCCGAGGTGGTTTGCCAAGGGAACGGGGTGCAAGGTAAAGGCAAAGGCAAAGGCAAAGAAAGGCTGTGGCTTAGGAAGCCTTCTTTCTCACCTTTAGTCCCAGTCATTCTCGCTCGTCCACCCAACATCACTGATCATCTAGTAGGTACAAGCACCTATCTGACCAACCCTGTATCAGCCTCCTCCCGTCCCAAAATCCCGGCTCCCAGCACCACAGTGCCTGACCCCTGTCAAAGACCCTCTTTGCCACGGACCGAATGACGCCTGGCGCACGCTTTTAGCCTGTTTCGGCGAGAGGATTTTTGGCGTCAGTTGGCGGCGACCAGCCGCTACCCGCTGCAGCGCCACCCTGCCTTAGTCAAAACACACACACCGCATCAACCCACGTTTGCTTCAAGGCTACGCTACGCTTCGCATCTTCACAAATTCATTAGTTAGCTCATGGGCCCAATCAAACGACTGCTAGCACTTCCAGAAAAGCCATGAACAACCCCGCCTTACCCTTATATGATTCCCAAAATCCAGGGCCGTACGCTTTTATCAATCCCCAGCCCAATGTCGGCTACGCCATCCCTCCCGGAACTCCCTTTGATCATGCCCAGACTCCATTTCAGCCGGGCATGATCCCAAATCAGATCCAGAGGCCCTTATCCCACCCTCATCAGGCCCAGCAACCTGTTCCTCACCATCTCTACCAACAACATCTCGGTCAGATTGGTACGGCGTCGCGTCCGGAGAGTCGATCCAGCTATAGCCCGCAGGCCAAAGGTAAGTCAGAATCTTCTCCCTGACCGTGGACTTGGACAGAGTACTCACTACCAGGCAGGGCATCCCTCCAATGGGCAAACTCCTGTCCCCGTCCCAGTGAATCAAGGAGCCAACCTAACGTCCAGTCCTACCCAGTTACAGACTGTAACAACTTCAGCTCATCCCTTACCGCCTGCCTCTGCGCCCACTTCACTGGATATGAACATGGCAGCAAACATGGCTCTGGCAGGCCAATCGAGTTCCACGTTGGCTCAACAAGCCCAAATTCACAATGCGACACAAGTCGCTCGCGCTGCTCCGCCCCAGCAGCATTCACAACAACAGCACCACACAAGCGCTGGTGCGGCCATCTCAGCACAGTCTGCTGCGAGGGAGCGAGCACGAGTCTCGGTGTTGCTGGAGATCAATACCCATTTGCTGCAGGAAGTTGTGTCATTACAGGCACAGGGAAAGGCGGGAATCACATCTAACCAGGGACAACAATCACCTACCTCGCCCACTTCGGCAGCAGATGCGGCCAACACCATCACCAATAGCCCAGGAGAGCCACCCAAATCGGCAGGAGGCACACCTCAGTCAAAGCCACCATCACAAGAATATGCAGAATGCATGCGGCGGCTGCAGGCCAATCTATCCTACTTGGCCGCGATTGCGGATGCCAAAAAGAAGGCCAATGGAGCCCTGCCTTCGGGACCAGCAATTATGATCCCCCCACCTCATTTGCCGCAGGTAAACGAGCTGTATAAAAGGCTGAACGCGCTGTTCCCAGAGGCAAGCCACTCGGCTATCAACAAAGCAATGGCGCAAGCCACCGCGCAAAACCCGAACACTGGTCCCAAATCCCAAATACCGTTCACTTCTGCGCAAGGCTGAGTGTGCGCGGTTTGGCGCTGAGAGACTGTTAGAACCGTCAAACTTCCAATAAAGTTGCGTCCACCCTCGAACGGCTTGCTTGATGAAACACCTCAAGCCCGTATATGTTCGTTGAAGGAATAACGTTCAGCGGATCATGTGGAACACGTCTCATGGCTAACATTTTGGTTTTCAGAAGATATGATATAATTGGAGAACGATGGGCCCCTAAGCTCACGCTACAGACCCGTCAAACTGGTTATATTCCAGGCTTGGTCAACCCCTTTGCAGTGGCGATCAAATACAATAGCCGCAGCTGCCTGCCAGAGATATCTTGAGGTTTCGGTACCACTTCAGCGGGTGATCGCGGTCGTGCGAAAACGACGAATCTTCCAGCCTATACAACAGAGAAAGCCTTGCGGCATTCAGAAATGGAGAGGCTCAGAATAGGATGCTATGTAGATTATACTTGCGGTATTTGGAACCATTTACTGGCTCAATGTGATACTCTCAATGATTAAAGTCGTTTCAGGTGCAGCAATGACCTTTAGTATCTCCTTGGGATGATGGATTCCTTAGGATGTTCACGATGACAATTCAATTCACTATCTCCTGTAGTCATGTTCGTCAGTCAGTCCTCGCTAACGGAAAACCTGTAACGAGTGTCGAGGCTCAGTCACAAGGCGCCAAGAGTCGACGGTGGAGGGGAGTTGCCGCATTTGTTCCTGCCTAAGGCTGAGGCATTAATATTATTTCCAGCGCAGCTCAGCCTTGTCTTGGTCGGAATCAACACTGCATTGCTTTTACTGGCGACGTTAAAGTAGTTGTTGCTTCTGGAGCATCTGTTGACCTTTGTGGACTGTATTTCATAACCTGGATGATATCCAGTATCTGCCCCAACCTCTCTAGGGCATCTTCTACTTTCAATCGGGTTTGCGATATTTCTGCATCGAACTTTTCTCCCAGTGCCGTCTTCACAACCCTCTTGCGCGCCCATCGCCTCAGAACATCCTGTCAACCTTTTACATCCATACATAATCTATCCGCTCACCCCAGAATACCGCCGGAAGGTACCGCTGCATACTTCCGATCTGCAACATCCCTGCTGCATACCCGCCTCCGACGCCTCCAAAATCCTTTGGCAACATCACAACGTTCTCGCCCTTTCTCTGCCTCTGCTCTTTCCGATATGTCTGCCAATGGCGAACTGAGACTGAAGAGAAGGACAAGCCCGACGTCGGCGTTGGAGAGACCCAAGAAACAACTGAAGCCGGAAAATGGAGTGCCTACACCCGGAAACGCTACTCCTCAAAATGGCTCTGTCTACGATATCGAGGCCGACTCGACCTCAGTCCCCATCATCAATCCCGTTCCCGCCGCAGGCGATTCACCAGAATGGCAGGCTACTATAGAGCGAGTTATAAAGAGTGTGGTGTCCATTCACTTCTGCCAGACGTGCTCTTTTGACACCGACTTGTCCCTTTCCTCCCAAGCTACGGGGTTCGTGGTTGACGCCGAAAATGGCTACATCATGACCAATCGCCATGTCGTCTGTGCCGGTCCGTTTTGGGGTTATTGCGTGTTCGACAACCATGAAGAGGTGGGTTACCGTTTGCTCACCCCAGGTGCCTGCCAATTTGACCGACTGCTGACAATAACCTCACCTAGTGCGACGTGAAACCTGTCTATCGCGACCCTGTCCACGATTTTGGCATCCTGAAATTCGATCCTAAAGCTATCAAGTATATGAATGTCCAAGCACTCAAACTACAGCCGGAGTCGGCA